CGCTATGAGCTTTTGGGCAATTTTTCCATCGCCAATGCATGCAATCCAAAGAACCCAACATGCCAGGGAAGCCTTGTTCTTTGTTTTCCTCAAGTAATCTAGCAGTGTCGGCGGCGTTTGGTTCGCGGAGGTATTCTTCACCAAATCGTGATACGATGGCGGCGCAAAACCTGAACATACTCTCGATTGAGGTAGATTCAGCCAGACGTAGATGTTCGTCGTTCATATCGGCGGGGGTTCCGTATGCGAGCATTCTGATAGCTGCAGTGCATTTCTGCAAAGGTGAGAGGCCGAGCCTCCGGCAGGCATCGCGTTTCTGAACAAAATAATTGTCCTCTTGAGTAACTCCATCAACTACTCGTAAAAATAACGTTCGACCCATGCGGAATTGACGACGAAACAGCTCATCATCATAGCGAGGATTATCAGAGAAGTAGTTGTTGAAAAGCTCTACGTGGGCTCCTTCTCGGTTGCGATTGATGTTGGGGCGTTTACCCTTTTTAGAACCACCGCCGCGACGCTGTTGGTCACCTCCCGAGGTGACGAGGTGACGAGCAACGTCCGTGGTCACTTGAGCGGCGTTCATGATTAACCACAATCTGTCGTTTGTTTGGCCACACATAGACAATAGGTTATTTAAATCAAGAGGGTGGTTGGCCTGTTCAGCCATTCTTATAACGATCAATTTTGATTTCGATTGATTATCGAAAAGCTGAAGATAGTGAAATGAAGCCAAATCACTCTCAACAATTCACAAATTGATCACAATACGATCATGAAAATCTAGTATCGCCCTGATGTCATACAATGATTCAGGACGATACCAATTGGGTCATATTTGTCAATCATCGTTGGTATTTACACGTCCCCGATTTCACCAACCTCCGCGTATAACTCACATGCAGACCGAGGCCTGTCGTACAGCTGTCATACAGACTTGATTTTTGCACTCCATGGGTGGAGATGCTCTAAGGTTTTCTTTCTCGTGTCCGCTATGTAAAAAACGATTGATTGATATCGCGTGAAGGCTGGAAAGTTTTTCTAATTGAAACGCGCGACATGGTCAAAGAATTCCCCAACACTGACCTCCAAAGTCACGCTCACACCCGGTGCCCTGATGCCACGTGGCGCCACAGCTTCGGGCAGGGCGGAGCTTAGGGCTTATGCCATGCCCTGGCCCCCGCACTGGAGCCCTCCAGGGCGCCTCAGGGCTACCAATCAAACATGGGCTCTCCATGATGAGGGTTTTAAGATTTTGCATCAATCAAGTCGCACTGTGAGCATCAAATACCACCATAGTTACTCCACTTGACTGCCAAGAAGAACCACATTGAACTGTTGCAAACAGTTTTCTTTGCTTTTGAATCAAAAGCACTCCTTACCTCAAGGTCCTCATCAATTGCAATTTCTCCATGCACATCAAGTGTCACAAAAGTTTCCAATAACAATCCAACTTGGATGAATGGTTAGTCTTTGGTCTTCTGCAATGTAATTTTGAAAAGAGTCCAGAATTTTCATCAGCCTTCCCCCTGATTTTTATACGATTATAAACTTTTTCAAAACTTGTTGTCTACTTGTCCCCAATGTGATAACCCAAATTCCTATCTTTCCTTTGTTATCTTCTTGCTTTGTCTTAACAATTTCCAGCATACTTTTCCTTCTAAATTTGTGTGCTTTTCAAATGTCTTTTCTTTGATTTTCCTTGACAAATCCTCATTGAATTTTTCCAAGTAGTATGCCGGATTCAGATGTATCAGATCTGTCCACCTTTATTGTCAATGTGATGTCTTTGACATCACATAGTTGTAATCATTATTTCCTTATTTAGACTTTGTAGAGATGGACACCTATATAAGGCTCCCTCTCCTTGCTTCAGGACTCAAATTCCAAGCAGCTTCTCTGATCTTTCACCTTACCAGAAACCATTGTACATCACACTGTGCAAGTTCAACCACAAACCAGATTTTCAAAAATGTGTCAATTCATTGTCAGCCATTTGCCACTTATATCACAAGCTTTGCTGAGTAAAAGGCTGACAGCATTCATGTTACACTCTGAGCATCAACACTTGTCAAAATTAACCCACAGGACTGTTTAGAAGGACTACATTTGAATTTTGAAAAGCATATACCTCTCTTTTGAACCAAAAGCTTGAATTACCTGGCATTCTCCATTGATTGAATTATTTTCATGCACATCAAGTGCAACAAAACATTCACACTGAATTTTCAGTCGGCACATCAACTGAAACAGGACATTTACAGCATTCCATTTCCACTTTTATTCATTCAATGCACAGCTTTATCCCATATTTTCCTACACTAATTTGATTCAAAAGCAGTTTGCACTCACTGAGCTTTTGAAAAGCATCACGATGAACATTTAAAAACATCTACTACATATGACTTTCAATGAAAACTGTACCAAAAAAACATATTTTATTCCCAAGTAGATTTTCATTTTTTTTCATTATGTTCATTGACTGAAACAATACCTTTACAAAATGTCATTTTGGAATTTATTCAAGGTTTTGCATTCAATGCATAGCTTTACCCTTCATATTTGCTCCATCTAATAGCTTTCAAAATTGGTTTGCCAGCTTGTGATTTTAATACTCAGAATGGCACAATAATGGCCTGTAAATTTTTGAAAAGTCTTACACTTTGACCTTCAATCACAATAGGCAGTAGTTCCATAAAATTATACACCACAGTCCCTTCAGTTAAATGCTTTTAAAGCAATCTGCACGGTTTGTCAATTCACATCCACAAAGTTTTGAAAATGCAACTCCACAGAAAAATGCAAGTTGATGTGGTATTTGCCCAATTCAAAAGGTAATGGATGATATTCATATAACAGACAATAAGGTCTTATTGCCTGGTGGTATCTATGACCTATCAATGTCTGATGGAATTCATTCTCATGTTGCATATCTTACAAAAATGACCTTGTACCGCATGACCTCACATATTAATATCATGTTGTCAGTTTGATTAAGTTTTCATCATCAATTTTCCTTGATCCATAAACACAGCATGCAAGTAGGCTCGTGGATATGTATTATGAAGGTGGTCAATACAGCAAGTATCTCTAAGCTTTAACTGCATTCTCATTGATAATCTTCCAGAACATCATATCCATCTCAAGTCCACCTCACTATTCAATTGCACTGATTGATATGAACTAGGGCCCCAGAGGCTGACACCACCCTCACAATCTGTTGGTATTGAACCAGTAGGTCCATTCTCTCTCTGCAGGCAGCTCATCTGCTCCTTCAAAACTCGCACAAAGGGACTAAAAGCAAGAAAATTGGCAGAATGAGAGAACTTTCTCAAAAATGGGGAAGACTTTCATCACAATATTGTTCTTGATTAACTCTACAGTTGTTTATCCTATCAAGTACATTTGAAACCAGTTTTTGTGCTAAATTTGTATGCAAGAAATGTGAAGTAGTGAGAGCATACTATTTGGTGATTAAGATTGTAGGTAGGAAGAAAGGGTTGAACATCAGACATAAGATGAGTGTATGTATTTAAAACAATACCACTTTAATTGAACAAAAACCAATTTTGATGAGCAGTGATTTACATAATTGTGCAAACAATGCAAAACAGAAAGCATGATGTGATCAGAGTAAAAGCAGACCAAAAGCATAAAAAGAAGAACTCAGAAGCACTGAGCCCCATTGTTTACCGTGACCACGGGAATAAAAGCATTTGATCAAAGATCAAAAGCATTGGCAGCTATTGGAGTCCCGGTTTGTGTTTTATGATAAGCAACTACTTATTTGAGAGATAAACTTCAACCAAGACAGTGTGAAATTTCTGGATTATCTTTATTTTGAATCTTGTCAAAGTGTGCAATACCATATAACGTCTTTGATAGTTATTTTATTCAGAAGGGTTACTGACACATTAATCTTCCTGATAGATGGTGAAGCTCCTTATACATTGGTGTTACCATATGGGACTCATGAATTGAAGTTTCTTTGGTATGCGAACCGGTGTTTCATTTATCTGGCAGCGGTAGTCGACAATTTGCATCGCCCTTCCTGCGTTTACAGTCCGGAGATTGATTCAAAAATGATAAGCGTGAGTTCCACAGTCTACTGGATGTTGACATTGTTCAACATGAAATCTTCCTTCAGGATGTGTCTTGAACATCATCAAATACCAAAAGTGTAGATTGCCACACGCTCATCATGTGATATGTGGCTTACCGGTCAAAAAGAACTCATCGTTAAGATGTCAGATTGAGTAATGACTGGCGCAAGGGGTTTCCGCATCACTCTTCCTTATCCTCCTTACACTATTTCAGGATATTGGCATATTGGGATTTTTAATTTGTTTCTGGAACCCAGATTGAGTGGCTCTATGTGCATTAGTGATATACTGTCACTGAGCAACTGCATAATACATAAATTTGCGTTATCAATGTTAGATTATTTCAATCTGCATGGTGGCTCAAATGTATCCATCCTTTTGTGAAAATTGACCTATGTTATGGTAAACGATTCACACACGTATAACGACATATAGCGATTAGAGCTTATATCCTTTGCCTCACGGCGGGCTTGCCTGCCTATAGGCTATGCTCTAGTTGGTATGTCATGTATATCCTGAAAAGACACATGCCTAATGGGTGGCCCTCCCGCGCCCGCGGCTCTCAGAGAAATTTGGATTGGATGTGCCAAGATCTCACTACACCCATGGCTTGGCGGATGAGATCATATCTGATGATATAGCTCATATCTGCTCATTGCCTACACAGTGCAGGTGATGGCGGAAAACCCCTTGCTGTTGCACAGGTTTTAAAGCCAGGCAAAAGGTCGGTTGGCTTCAGTTTCCGGTCTTCGAAGTTTGATAGCAGGTCCTTAAGAAGTTAGCGCCCGTTAGATCCTCGCGTTCTCCGCGCCTTATAACCAAGAACGTTTTCCCAGACTGAATAGATAAAATGACACGCTACAATCGCTACTTGGCAATATTTTCGATTCTTTCCTCATGTCTGATAGTCAGCTCCAGTGATCCCAGAGCCAAGCGTCCGAGGAAAAATCCGAATCCGACTCTTGGTTTGAACCCGCACAACTTGCACAAAAATGGTGTTGCGATCGGATTCCTACCCGGCTTCGGTGAACCGATATCGCCTAATAGTCCAAGTCAAATCAATGGGAAACTACCAGCTCCGATGGCTATTGTGAGTCGTGCAGAGAGGTTGCGCTACCAAATTGCTAAGATTATCATGCTATGCATTGTCCGTACTTCCGGCGCCTTGGTCAGATGGGAGATTACTTTTATCTCGAGAGATCGGGACTCGATACTGGAGCCTTGAAGGCGGTAAGCCATTTCGCTTTTTGTGTAAATGCCGCACTTTGTCAGACGTGCAGGTTGTGATCAAGAATCTATCCGTGATAGCTTTGGTTTCATCTCGTTAACATGTGTCTCTAATTTGGACAACAGCGTCTTGGATGCATAAAACGATTGAATGGAAACCCAGTCTGGCAGATTGCGTTAATGCCATATCAAGGACTAGAGACTGTGACACAGCAAGTGGTACGATTTCAGGCGTGAATCGCGTGAAACACGTTGAAGTAATCCTTGACATACTATGATCATTCCCTTCCATCTTACAATGTCTCCTCTTTCTGGCGTACCGTTGCGATGTGATGGAAAAACCAGGCCGACAAAATCGGAGAAACTATGCTATGGATCAACAACCAAGGCGTAACCGTATGGTTGAGGTTTGCACATGAGGTTGTTACATGCTCTCTCTTATCAATCGTCCTGGAGTGACTCTTAGTGAATATCCTGATAATCTCTTTTACAGATGAATGGTGAATGGTATAAATGGGGCATGCAACCCAAATGTAGATCTACTCCATTTCCCTTCAACATCCCACAATGAGAAAAAACCAGCGTAGTGACTGAGACGAAAATTCCTTCTTAAGTGTTTCTGAGGAAATGGAAAATGATATCGCAAGCTGTCAAGTCTAGAACTTCGAGGACTTGTCAGTATTGTTTGCTGCATCATCAGTCCATTCAACGGTCTTGCTTTTCATGCGTTTTCCCATGTTGATGAGAAATCGTTCTTGAGAATCGATAGACATGCTATGGGCTCCAAACGCGTTAACAGGTGGCGTAAACGATGTCAGAGGAGGTTATGCGCCGTATTGGCCGGGGGCACAATATGTGGATATTCTTGGTAAGAATGAATCGTTAAATCCACAGCCAACAAGACGAATTCATCTGACCTTGGTCCGAACAGGTATTTCGTTCTACCACTATGGGGGTCAGCCGCACTTCTTCCCTTTATTTCCTCTGCCCTTAAATTTAACTTCGTCAGGAAGTTGAATGAAATTTGTTGAGGAGGACAGGGTTTGAGCGCAAGAATGTCTTACCTGATCGAACCAAGGCACTCAAGGTCATCAAAAAGTTCTCTGACGTGAGCTTTTTTCAGCTTTCTTTGGCAAGGTAAATCCCACAACTGAATTTTGTGCAACCTCTTCGGTCAAAATCACATTCTCCTATACATTCATAAAATTCAGTTGTACTCCACTCCAAATAATTTACCAGTTGTCCTATCCGAAACTGGAGCGTCCTATACGGTTTCCCTAGAGACTGGGAGACCTGCACCGGGTGGAGCTTCAGAACATGACATGAAGCTCCGATGGCTTAAGCAACTTTTGGGAGATAACTTAATCAAGTCTGTTCCGAATTTCAAAGCGTTTTCTTGGGTTAGTATCTTGCTTCCTTTTTATCTTTCAAATGGCAATTACGGCTTTATTTTTCTGACAAATCTTCACTCCAATCCCACCTTTACTTAGTTTGAGGTCAAGAAAAATGAGGATGCTTCGTAAGTCCAAACTCTTCCTCTTGGAACACAACGTCATTACAGTCACTAAGTCTCCAATATTTATGAAAAAAGTGGAGACTCTGTTGTAAAATCTGAGGACTTCCGCTTATTGATGGGGCATAAAAGTTTGAGTAAAGCTGCAGTCTCTTATCTCTCTTCTTGAAGAAGAGCCACTTCGACAACAGAACTGGACTTGAGTCATTTTCCATTTGAGTTCTGCACCACTTTTCATTTGATCTCACTATATTTTGATTTCTTATCTCTCACTCTGATCTCCAAATACTCATCAATTCATGGACAATTATATCATCTCATGTAGCAATTCAAAAGCTGGTGATTCAATAAGCAAAAATCTTATATGATGATGCCAGATTCGCTTTAGAATTGTAACTTATTATACACTGATACATATATACATTTGCACACTGGATGCATTTTTGTGGACTCTTGGTCTCATTTGCAAAGTCATTTATTTTTGAAGCTTCCATTAGGGCACATTTTTTTTTGTGAAGACAAATGATCTGATGGAAGATAAACTATTGATCAAGGCGCTTCTGAACTGATGAGATTATTTGTATGCGGTAAGGTAAGTTTACGAAAACATTGGGTACGTCTCACACAGTATGGTGAGCAATATACCACTGTTACAATCAAACAGATTTAAACATTCCTAGGTTCATAACAATTAATCATCACATTCTCCCAGGTTCTCTGAACTTTCCCCAGTTATACAATCCAAAAATGATAACCTCTAATACTTTATATTCCTGATCTCATGTCCTCATGTGATGGACCTTCTCCCCACAATCATCCTTGATCATTCGCGATATCTCCTACTCTTGTTAACAATTATTGGAGATGGGAAAACTGCGCTGTTTGATATCGCTCTCCCTTCACACCTTCATGCCCTCACCTCCTTTGGGGCACGACTTGGTTATTTGATTGAAACTGGTTTTCCAACTTGTCAGCCCGGCCCCTGACTCACCGAGATTGAGAATGATCTGGTAGACAGGAGGCTAGATAAACTTACACAGATTGGGTGATGATCAGTTTCAATAAAGACACCGGAAGTGGAGTGTTCCAAAGCAGATGTTGATAGAGTCTAGCTCATTTGGAGAATATGAAGGAATCTTGTTAGGAGCAAGCAGAATTGATGAGAGACAATTTCAGGATAAGCTAAGTATACAAAATAGCACAAAATGCCATTTGCTTTGCTACAGTATGGCTCTTAGCAAGTTTCAATCGAATTGAATTGTTAGCTTCGCACTTTTTGTCGGACGCTAGTTGTCGTTTGCTCAGCTGCGTTTGGCCTGCGGCAATAAACCAGGTGACTTGGAGTTCCAGAATTTCTGGCCTGTTTGTTCACTTGAGAATCGTCTACCGGATTGAGGAACCTGGCAAGTGAGAAGATTTTCAAGTCGTAGTCGAAAATCGGCTGCCACCCGACCACCCCCTAGTCGCCCATCAGATATTTTGATACTCTGAGTTGTAGGTATATATGGACTTAGAAGATCAGCTCTCCATGGATAATTTTCGCATAAGTGTAAGCAGTCCGCCTAGTGTGAATGGTAAGGTCATCGTACGAGTCAATTTCAGCAGATTTATTGGCTACGCCTCTTATATCCATTCGATGGCTACATGTCCGGCGTTCTACATTGATGGGTCTACCAGTAGATGGCGTTGCAATTTTCGTGCAATTTTCGTCAGAGTCTCGCGAGGTATCGTGACGACTTGAGCAAGTCCCTCAGTCAGACACTTGATCCTCGCAAGCTTCGAGCTCGTGAAAGGACAAAAGAGCCCTGCGAGAATGGACTTAGGTTAAGTCGACTTGAGTAGGTCTATGCCGCCTGACCGTCGCTAAAGTCAGCCAAAGTACTAGGGAAGGCTGTTTACCAGAGCTTTCATCAACAATCACTTCTTCATAGTTCGATATTCCTTCTTCTGATCCGTACGCTTGATGATTTACCATATCTTCCGAGGTCATCGCCGCGCCATCTGCTATGTCTCGAATGAAGCACTCCGCACATCACTGGATGAGTGATGATTCTGTGTGAGCCTTCTAGGTACATCTAGTACCCCCTAATGGCTCGTCTCATACTCTATGGAGGTACCCGAAAAGTATCTCCATTTTGTGCAAGTTGAGTGGAAGATCGCCCAATCGCATCTCCGCTTCACGCTGAAAGATGGAAAGGAAACAAGACGACTGATAAGCTTGTGATAGGTTTATTTCTTTCGGTCCAAAGAAGTGACAATGTTATGCTCCCCAAGCTGTTGAGGATTGCACCAAGAATAAGCGATAGCATGTGCTCTGAAAGCTGACGTCTTCGAACTTGTGAAGATCGTTTCCTACTTCCTCGGATGACTATACGACTTCCGAAACGACCACGACATTTCAGGCCCAGCACTTCGTGCTTCTCCAATTCGCACCCAATGCTCTTTTACGGTAAGGCAGTGACCAGCCTTCCCGATGCACCGTATTGGACGGCGCAACTCGCTTCAAAAATCTACCTACTGCACTCTTGATGATCCAGCTATCACACCTCGCCAGCTCATCGGACCATGCAAAGACCTGTTTGGCAACTTGCTTCCCTGAACCAGCTAAGAGATACGGATTCCTTATAAATCGAGGCTCTCAAAAATAAGTAAGGCCGAGTCTTGGTACTGATTGAGTATCTGGTACTAGCGCGCTATCCAAAACTTTCGTGACCACCGAGCCCACCATGTTTCCTTGCTACCATCTCACACGATCATTGACTTGCCTGACTATCCTTATGTCTCTCATTACATACACGACTTCAAAGCTCGACTCATCTCTTGGACTCAACCCATCAAATCTTCACCGCAATGGTATCGCTTTCGGGGTACTTCCGGGATTCAAAGAACCCATCAAACCCAACACACCTGAACAGATCAACTCCAAATTGAGGCGACCAATATCTATTGTAAGTTATGGTTTCATCTTTGCATCTTGCTCTTTCGCTGTCATACTTGCGCCCAGGGAACTCTATGCAGCGAGTCATGATTGGCTTTAACGCAATACTCACGCGTGTCTTGATATATCTTTTGTACACAAAACGTGATACCATCGTGATAGATGGGTGACTACATTCACTTCGGAACTGACGGATGGGGATACAAGGTTATGGATTGGGTTTGTTAACCAGTTTTATCATATCGAGTGTTCTTCATAATTGTCTGATCTTGAATTCTACTTCTCTTCACACGTCCTATCTCTTTCCTTGCTCTATGTAATCCGAAAAAGCACGTCAAAGCCCTACAGGAACTTCCAGGGAATCCTGTATACCAGGTCGCCTTGATGCCCGTTGGGGGGCTCTACGGTGTCACAGAAGCAATGGTTTGTAAAATTTGTAAAATATCAATTTCATCCTGGAACCAACATGATAGATTCCTGTGACCATCTTCCAAATCATGAACATGGGATGTAAGACAGGTCACGTTTCCTATGGCCATTATTGATAGACCATGATTGTATGTGATTCATAGGCAGAACGGATAGCCGATAAAATGCTCGAACTCAACCAGCGTAACATCACAGTTTGGCTACGCTGGTGCCACGAAGTTGAGCCACTTCCGCAATTTCACACTTCTAAACATATGCCCTCTCAAATCGCTCCGCCAATCCCCAGTACTGACAATAACTGATGTGTGATCTAGATGAACGGAGGCTGGTATGTTTGGGGTCATAAACCATCACGCAAGTGTCTCTTGACTCATCCTCTTCAAAAAATGATCACCAAATCCTTGAAAGAAATTCACTTATTGGTAACCAAACAGTTTTCAAGAAGAAATGGAGAATGGTGGCACATGCGGTCAAGAGTAAAGCACCAGACACATGTAATATCCCAATTCACTGTCTTGATTGAGTGCTGAGCAGCTGATCTTACAGGTAATGTTGACTAACTCGGTCTCGTTTTTTGGGGCCGTCTAAATTTCCTGTAGATATGATGTGGGCCCCCAATGCGAGGTACGGCGACAGCATTCATTCAATTCGCGGAGGCTATACACCATACTGGCCTGGTGGCGACTATGTGGATATTGCAGGTGAGGTCATATCTTGTTAATTGTTGTCCTGTTTCATGACTTTTCATTGACATCATCTCTTTCCGACCTATAGCTCTATCTTTTTATCATTTTGGAGGTACGTAATTTCTTTTTCATCCGTTCATGTGAAATTCTCGAATGCTCTACTTCTATCTATCATATGTCAAGTCTTTAATCATGATCTAAAACTGTTGTCTAACTAATCCATCATTCCTAGGATCCAGTCGCAAAAACGTAATACCTGAACCCACCCAAGCTGTAGAGAAACTGAAAGAATTTTCAAAGGTGCGAAAGTTTTTCCCATACTTGTTGAGATCCTCAAGCGGAGAGGATATACAGAAATGACCAAGATTGAAAACCTGATTGCAATTTCCATGATTAGTTGTATGGAATGAAAGGGAAGCGAAAACCAATTGTCATAGCTGAGACATCAGCACCCTACACGAGATCTATGGGTAGTGGTTGGGGGGATTGGGGATACGAATCAGAAGAAAAAATTAAGTTGGCATGGCTTAAACAAGTTTTCTCTCCAGCAATGAAATATGCAGTTCCTGAATTGAAAGCTGTTTCATGGGTGATTTTCTATATCGTTCTTCCACCAAGCTACTCGTCCTAAAGTCTGACATTACAATCTGAATGAAAATTTTATACAGTTCGAGATCTACAAGAAGGAGACACCACCGTAAGACAAAAATTTTCTAAGCTTCCATCGGATAGAAAGCTGATAGATCATAATCATTTTTGGTTCACGGCGTCTAGCGGGCGATGGTACCCCAAGTCAGAAGACTTCCGCCTCCTGACAGGGGACACTTCTTTGAGCAGAAAAGCGGCTGAATATCTTTCTGCCGAGCCAAATTGATGGGTATCACATAAATTGTTTGTTCTCTGCCGCGAAGCAAGAGGTTGTAATATATTATACCGCACTGTTCATTTTCTCAGCTCTTAGAAAGTTGATAGGACTGTTGAGAGTGATGAAAAAAAAGATTGTAATTCCAAAGTTAAGACCAGTTTCAGATCAGAAAAAGCCAACAGTATAACGTAGAGTTCTTACCATATCAAATTCAGAGACTCATAGAGAGACAACAAGGAGCAGACAAGACATGACTCTGTATATACGTAGTCCATAAGGTCAGAGACAAGAACCTGTTGTGAGGATGATCTTCGTCCTCATCAAAGCGCCATGAGGATATTTTCCCCTGCGATTAAAATACATCTATATGGATCAAAGCAAAAAGAAATGCCCTTCTCTAGGTTATATTTTGACATTCGCTGACTTTCCTTCCCAATTGGCTCAGATTGCGCACCAACCTGAGCTCAAGCACCAGCACCGGCACCCTCGCCTCTTCTGGTATACACTCATTAGCACCTTTCCACATATTTTTTCCACATTCACCAATTTTTGCAGGCCATTCAAGACACAAAGGATATAGTTTCTACCATTAAGACCCAACGAGCCTCCGGTCGGAAAATTGTAAAATCGACAGCTAGAATCACCATGAACGGAAAACGGGTGTTCACCACCTCGTCTGTGGGTAATTCAACTTTGGAAAACTGCATCAGAATGCTATCATCAAGCTTTAGAGCATTCCAACCCAAATAGGTTGGCTGTTTCTTATTACACAAAAATCACTTGCATCAACCATTTTTTGAGATTTTCAAGTTTTTTGAGCATAATTGGATTTGGCTGACTTTTGGTTTGATGCAAGTCAACAAACTCACTTGGCCATGTTGATGATTTCGAGCATGTCAAGTCATGAGATGAATAAAATGAGAAACAATGGTGTGAAAATCTCCAGAATTGGCTGGAGAGTCCGATCCGAGGCTCGGTGGGCCGACTCTTGAGTCTTGATGGTCTAAACAGTAAAACTTAACTTGATTTTTTGGTTAAATATTGGCTAAGCCCCTGGCGTAAGCGCCTTTGTTACAGAGTATGTCGCTGTGTTTTAGTGTGATTACATGTGATTTGAAATTCTTGAACAGTTCTTCCGTTTGTGTCGCAGCATGAGCGTTGACCAAAATCGCTATCTCCCTCTTTCCTTGTTGACTACCCTGTTTCAAAGAAGATCATCATCCTCATCCTACCAATGGCTCCTTTAGTTATTCGTGATTCTGATGATGATAGTTCCGACCCACCGCGTACGACAAAAAAAACTCGCGTCTCAGCACACGCAAGTTCAGAGCTATCTGAGCTTACCGTATCCTCCACAACGTCCCAACGCGATTCTCTCAAAGTCGCCAAAATCATCACTCGAGATGATGCCAGTGATGACGAAGAACCGACTTACACCTGTGTAGTGGAAGGTAGTAAGAAAAAAGTCAAAGTCAATGATACCGACGTGATTTCGTGGATGAAGCTATCTGCTAACCATGTCGTTTCTTTCATTCCTCATTTAGCTCAAGGAATCACAGCTGGAAAAGAAGATGGTCTCTGCATTCAAAAAAGCGAGCGAGACTGTCACTATTGAGGATTCTGACGATGATCACACCGAGTCAGGTAATGCGCGAAGTGAAAGCAAGTCGGACACCAATTTCATTTCAGATGACTCAGATGAAGGCGGCAAACGCAAGAGACGTAGTGGAAATCGTCGTGAAACTAGGACCTCCGGCAGAGATACACGCGACAGTGATAGTGGCAATAGACGTAGTACTCGCGATACTCGTCATCGAGGTAGCCTCAAATTGAAGGACCCCATCATGAGCGAGGAGCTGAGAGAATCAGAATCTGATGAACATGACAGCGTCAAGGTCCACAGTACTCGAGCCCAGAGGAAAAGCGATCGAGATCAAAAGAAACGCGATCGAGATGAAAGTGAGGATCTCACCGAGCGTGGAAGCTCGCAACCACGAGCACACAAAGCCAAATCACCTCGAAAAATCAAAACCAAGCTCCGAGTTGGAGATCGCCCTCGCGATGAACACCATGAGGTCAGTACATCTTGGATCATCGTTTATATTTCTTCTTGTTTGGCTGATAGGAAATTCTCATGCTGCCAAACAAGTCCTGCGCGAAATGTTCTGGACCATTCGAACCAGACTTGGTGAAGAACTGGAAGAAAGCCAATCAGCACCGCAGTGGAAAAATCACCACACGTAGTTTACTTCATAGGTTTCCGACTCTTGATGATGTATATGATCAGGGATGTTGGGTCGACTGTAGTGATTGTTCAATGGGATATCACTATGGGTGTCTGCCATTTGAGATGAGAAAGGACATAGCCCGCCAACATAAGCAAGAAAGAGAGGCACTCTTGCTCAAGGAGCAGAACGAAGCAGCGGATCAACGTCAAGACACACCTTCTACTGGTGAAGCAGTTTCAGCCATGAAAAAAGAACAATTGCCGAATATTCGGTTGTCAATCAAATGTCCAATGTGTATCAAACCACACGGCGGAGAGTGTATGATCTGTGGAAACGGGCTCGAATCGGCTCAGACGATTGATGGTAAGGGTTCTTCATCAACTCCCGCTACAGCTTCAGCACAAGTCAAAGGTCTGTCGGCTTCAATTCCACTTTCTTGACGTTTCACCATTATATTGACGCATCTGCCCTGGGATCCTCACCTATACTAGTGGCTGATAAGGACGAGAAGGAACCTCAGACAAACGTCAAAAAGCCGCAATTGTCAAAACCTGATGATTCGGATGTTGATGAACTGGAAGTCGATACATCTAACGATCAGCCAATCTTCTTTCGGTGCACCAGCTGTAAAAGACCTGCCCACTATCTTTGTCTGCCGCCTAGTGAAGAAGAACCCGAAGACGACATCGATAGAATTGCCGAATACTGGCAGAGTGACTGGACTTGTAAGGACTGTAATGAATTGGAGGAGCTCTCTATACAATACATTATAGCTTGGAGAAAGCCAATGTCTTTAAACTCTAGTCAAGAACACAAAAATTCTACCAAGTCCAATGATCAGCTTGTTGGAACGCTGCACAGTCCATCTAAAGGTAGAAAGGTTGAGAAAGCCGCCAAAACTCAACTCCCCGACATCAAGGATCCGTTCGACCAGGCCGAATATCTGTGCAAATTTGAGGACTTCAGCTTCGCTGATTGTTCATGGGTCCCACATTCGTAAGTCTTTATAAGTACGTGTCACTCACGAAAACCTTGATGTTGATGAATGTTTTTTGTTACAGATACATGGCCGCCAAACATACGATCAAGCTACGAAACTTTTTGTCAAAAGGGCCTCAACTTGACTTGAAACAATTGAATGGGCTGGCGGATGAAGCAGAGGAAGAGGACTCTGGGGACGAAAACGAAGACGAATCATTGTTTAACCTGGAACCTGACCAAGATGCGGAATCGAAGATACCGAAGGCGTGGCTCACGCCCGAAAGGATTTTATCAGTGGAATTCGCGAATGAAAAACTGATCGACGATATGAAAGAGAAGGATATCCCTACGACAGCTAAAGGAATGTATGATAGAATCGAGAGAGCTTATATAAAATGGGAAGAGCAAGCATATGTATCCTGTGAGTTCTTCCAACCTTCTTGCTATCTCACCCCTCTCCTGCGTACATATCGCTTTTCTCATGTTCTCACTCTCTCAGCGACTTGGTCGGACAAAACGCCAAAGGATTCACCATACTTTCCCGCTTTCATGGCTGCATTAGAGCATTATGTCAAATTTCGCAAGTTTGTCGTACCCGTAGTCAAACATGAGAAGGAGTTGGCCAGACTGGACGCTCCTAGGCCCCACGGTTCCTTCGTTGCTTTCGAAACACAACCGGACTACATTCCGCACACACTGATGGATTTCCAGTTGGAAGGAGTCAATTTTTGTTATTAGTTGGTGGTCACCACTGTTTCACGCAGGGTGGTAGTGATGACTAACGCTTCATGATCTACCCCTTGATTCTGAAACAGTAACTGGTATTCACAGCACCCCACCATCTTAGCAGACGAGATGGGGCTAGGGAAAACTGTTCAAATTTGCTCACTGATCGCCGTTTTGACCAAGATAGAAAAGAGGATGCCATTCCTCATTTGTGTTCCTAACAGTACTATTGGAAAGTGAGTCTGTTTATCGCGGTACCTATCTGCTATCTATATCTCGGATCATTGAACGTGTTTTTCTGGACAGCTGGGTTCGTGAGTGTGCCAAATGGCTTCCAGATCTTAAATGTGTTCCCCTTCCTGGGGCCTATGATTCATGCGAGATTGTGGAACAATGGGAGCTGTTCAAAACATTGCCGAAGTGCAAACCGCAGCTTTCAGCTCATGTGGTCATAGCGACCTATCAAGCTGCCGAGAAAAACGTTGCGGTTCTGGCAAAAGTTCAAAGATGGGAAGCTGTGATTGTGGACGAAGGTCAAAGGCTCAAGGCAGGTCCCAAAGGAGGTCTCTTCAAGGCTTTACACAGCATGAAAGCCGGTCACAGAATCTTGATGTCGGGCACCCCACTGAACAATAATCTTCGAGAACGTAAGACATCTCGCTACTCACAGCGCATGATGATCATTGACCGATGTTACCTACACAGTCTTCAACCTTTTGAGCTTCTTGAGTCCCGAGGAATACCCTCTTGATGTCATTGATGAGTTGGAACAGCGCTATCAAGAGTCAGTCCGCACCTCTGCTTCACGTTTTATGTTTTTGAAAACTGACCTGATGACCTCTTACACGTCGGACGCGAATCTCAGACTAACGCCCGAGTTAATCGAAGAACTTCGTAACACCATTCGCCCCTATATGCTAAGACGTCAGCATGTGAATACCCTGGATAGATGAACGTGACGGTTCTAACAGAGATGTTGTTTGTATTTCAGGTACTAAGGAAACCGCTTTAGAGCTACCCAAATTGACAGAGATTATTGTACCAATATCGATGAGACCACTGCAAAAGAAAGTACGTACATTTGAAGCGATACAGCTTCTCAGCCTATGCGTGGTACTATGATTGACTTGGTCTTCCATACATCTCAGGTCTACAAAGGATTGCTTTCCAAAAACGTCGCGGTCATCACGGCAATATATTCAAAAAAGAAGAACAAACATTCCAAAGCAAGCTGTATGAACTTATTGATGCAATTGAGGAAGGCGCTTGCACACCCTTACTTGAATGATCCCGAAATCGAACCGGACGTTAGTGATGAACAAACTCATGATAATCTGGTTGAGGCGTCTGGAAAACTAGTTTTTCTTCAAAAGTTTATACCGAAACTCTTGAAACGAGGTCATCGCATTTTGATTTTTTCACAGTGTAAGTCAAATTTGGTGTTTTGATAGCCTCTCTCCTAATCATTTATCCGGATCCACGGCTGATGATCGCCATACTTTCTAGTCACGATCTTCCTTGACATCATGGAACGATTTCTAGAGGGAGAGGAGCGACCATACCTACGACTGGTATGTTGTCCACTGCATGGAGCTTGGTGATTCTCGACTACGCGTAGCTAAACAGTCTACCTTACAGGACGGTACAACTTCACAACTAGACCGACAGACTCGAATCGATGCATTCAACCGCCCCAATTCTAATCACAACCTATTTCTGCTGTCCACTCGGGCAGGTGGAGCGGGCATAAATCTAGCCACAGCGGATACGGTCATTATTCTGGATCCCGACTACAATCCTCACAATGATTTGCAGGCTATCAGTCGGGCACATCGATTTGGCCAGAAGAAACCTGTCAATGTGTTTAAACTGATGACCTCTGCTTCAGCTGAAGAAAGAATTGTCCAAATGGGAAAGAGAAAGCTAGTTTTGGTATGTTGATTTTTTGCGATCTCTGGCAGTTATCATGCAGTTTAACGTGCTGATATGCGATTTTTTGCATGGCCCACAGGATCATCTCGTTATTCAGAAGGTCTCTGAAGAAGAGACCGAGGCGCACGATGTTGAGAACATCCTCCAATACGGAGCCAAGGAACGTGAGTATACCAAGTTGAGGTTATCGCGATGCACGATAGACGCTAAAAGCGTGATTCTTGTTTTCGAAAGTCCTCACTGCGTCCGAGGAAGCCTTACAACAAGACATACGATACACCGACGCGGAGCTAGACGAATTGATTCAGCGTACTACCGAGGAAGCAAAAACGAGTGAACCCGCCGATCCTGCTAAGAAAGACGATAAAACGTTTGCATTCGCTCGAGTTTGGGAGGGAGGTTCGCGTGGGCTGACTAGTCTGGACAAAGTGGGAGATGCCGAGGCAAATGAAAATGTTCAAGAGCAGCGAAGTTTTTGGGACAGTGTTCTGCAAGCTAATCAAGAAGAGGAGCAATCTTCAGCTGTAAATAATGAGACTGAAACGGGACGTGGATATCGTAAGCGTAGAGATGTTGCTTATGTCATCGCCGACCTAGATCCTTCACCTAAGAAGCGCAAAACGGGGCCGTCAAAGAATGACGATGACGATATGAAAGGTGATGGGGATTTCCAGCTACCGGAAGACATTGTCGATTCGTCCGACGACGAACCCGGCGGACCAAGGCCTGATGATGAGGATATCACTGTACTGTTGAACGATACTGTCCCAGCTGATCCAATGGCTATTGCGGCCAAAAAGGCGGCCTCTGAAGAAAGAAGGAGGCAGAAACTGGCTGATCGATATAGCAGAATGGCACAGGGCCCGGTCGATTGGCCAGCCCATCACATGACGAATCAGCAGCTTCCACAAGCAAATCCAGCTCAGTATCTTCCCAATTCGAGTACACATCCGCAAGTCATGAATTTAGCAGTGCAAAGTTCCCAGCCAGTTGCTCCAAAGCCGAAGCATCCAAAAGTGACTAATATCACTATGCCCAATCTTGATGGGCTGAATTCTGCCGCATCAAAGCGTGCAATGGACATGGTTTTGGTATGATCATATTTCAGATATTTCAACCACTGTATCCTCAATTTCCCATCTAAGTCACGATTCTTTCTCTATCTGACAGCGCGATATTCAACAGAAAGCCAGAGCGCTCAGCGATCCAGCATTGGATCAACTATTAGACTCAATGAGAGGACAACCATCTTCACGCCAGAAAGAGATTATGAGTGAAGCAGCAGTGCGTGACTTCTTTGTCTGTATAGCCGAAGTCTATCTGATGCATCTATGTGCTGTGGTCTTCATCTTATTTAGGTATTGGTTAGGAAGTTGACCAGACGTAAAGCTAGACAAGCAAAAATAGCACAACAAGCGATAGCTATGGATCAGCAAGTGCACCGGCCAGCGAACCCGATGCAACACCAACCAATGCACGGACCGCCAGTTCACCCGCCACACTTACAGCAGCAAGGCATGGGGTTAGCTTTGCAGCAACAGCAATACAGCCCGATGTATGCAACACAACCTCATCAATCGACATCTGCACGGAGTCCACATCCACCTGGACCACTACCTCCCCCCCGTTTCTTAGAAACCAATCCAAAGTCAATCAAACCTTATTTACAAAACCCTACTCTTCAAACTTCTACTAGTCAACCTTGGCCAAGTATGGAAACCAGTCGAGCTCAAGCGAAATCCATGGAATATAGAAACTCTATGGGTAGTACTAGTTCATCTAAAACCAAATCAAGTAAAGAAAAATCACGGAAAGAAAAATCACCTATTACGCAACCTAGTGGGCAATCATCAAATGGACAGATCCAGAGAGGACCTGAAGGTTGGGGTAACTGGCAAATTTAAAAAACCTACAATTGCTTTATATTGTTTTTTTACAATGAAATGTTCACGTTCAGATTCATTGTTGATTTTTGGAACGAAACTTCGCATATGCTTTATGATTACATATTTCATTGAAATTGCTATAATATATACTGGATACGTCATAAACTTGTTGTAATTCAAACTTTTATGCAAAGAGAACTCGATTTTTTAGTGTAATTCAAGAAAAGATGATTATAGTTGTTTTAATTTTTAATTCTTATCACAGTTCCTATACACATATATACATTTTTTTATCATGTTTTTTGAAGAGGAGTTGCAAGGATTTGATGACATAAAGTTTGGAAAGCTTTTGTTGGAACTCTTAGAAATCAAATGCTTAATCTAGCTTCTTTTCGAGTCTCACATTCTGTCTATGTACTCTTTCCCATATTGAGGCCTTGCTCTGACCCCCTTTGAATCCACAGGCCAAGGCCCAGGGTACCGCGGGTGTCACACTGGACAACCCACGTGCGAAACTGTGGAAGGCTGACTTTATCTGTATTGTCATCATCTCTAAGCGCCCATTGAGTCCATCCATCACCACCCCATTGTCTACATGCCAAGGTTGTCAAGGAACTCACTTTCAAGATTGGCAGCTGTGCTGAAATGCAGGGCCATTCTAGCAACATTGATTATAAAACCCTTCAACACATTTGCTGGAACTTATTTTCAATCATAACAGTCAAAACCATATTGATACATGTGGAAAAGAAATTGCTTACACAAGCACACATAGATTCAAAGCAGAAATGACATTGAAAAAAGAAATGACAGTTTCTTGAAAAGTACTTTAAAGACATTGAACAAACTTCTCACAATGACTTTGCATCTAAAATAAAGCTCAAAGATAATTATAGTGTGTATATTTTCAAGTCCCAGTACTGTCACCAATAGGGGGCAGTGGTGTAGCACAAAACGCAATGAGAGGTTGTAAAAGCCAACAAGTCATGAGTTTGACGGTAAGTAAAAGTAATAATTGACCCTTATCATCTACCTGTTATGATCTCACCTTGGGGTTTCTTAGATTGGGATGAAGGAAGTGTTTCTACCAAGCAATCAGGTTTGTATTTAGATTGTCGGATGAGGAACTCTATCATACATGACGTAATACAAGTTTATAGATGATGAAAGTGTGTGACATCTGTAGTTAACTTTCACCGGTGTTACATTTAGGGTTTGTAACACTACCTCAGACCATGCTGCTCAAATTGTAATTGAGTCTTCATGGTGTGGAACACATTCTCACTTGGATTCATTTCAGGCAAATAAGTGGGCAGATAAACCAAGGGGACCCCAGCCAGCCCCAGCTCCCTTGCAGAGCTGCTTGATAATACCACCATGGTGTACACAAGTCTTTTCCGACACCAGGACCAAGTTAACTCCTGGGTAAGGATTTATTACCAGAAGCTGTTCAAAAGGATGAAGAGGGGCCATTGCCGATCATGGTCAAGGCAATAGAACAGAATAATAATGAAATGCTTGACTCACTAAACCCAAGCAAGCAAGAGTTAGACATGAATTCTTTCCACTGGACCTCAAGTGAAGCTGAGTAAAATCAAAAGGTTGATACAATGGAGTTATTTTTGTATAAGCTGTTGTATGATGGAATTTGAATCCCTTTTGAGATTTATGAAAAAGGGAATGTGAATATCTTCAGAGAGTCAGGTAAATAAAAAGAAAGGATATGAAAGAGTGAAAAGCTTTAAATAAATCAATTAAGAGATATCAAAAGAGCTGATGACAAACATATAGCCTGATGACAGTTTGGATAAGAGATTGATTGGAAAGTCTTGATTCACAGAATTCACAAGGCAAAAACTTTAAAATTCCATTGAATGAATTGAAGTGAGAGAAAGGGAGATAAAAAGGGTATTTTGCCCCAATCAAGTGTCAAAAGCTCAACAGATGAACCAATAGCCTGAGAAACAATGCTAAATGATAGCCAGCCCCTATTGGGTAGAGTAAGTAGATGATTGATCTGATTGGTTATTCACAATTGGTAAGTTTTTGAATCTGGCTGATGATTTGCTATGAATGAATCATATGCATTTAGCATGCAGGCATTGTAAAAGCAATGATGATGATTGTCGGCTTATACTGAAGTACTTTTGAAAAGCATATGAAAATTGGTCCACATTGCTGAAAACCATGGTTTGAAGTGCAGCTGAGAAGCATTAGAAATTTGATCAACACAAATGAAAGTGAAGACACTATAATCAATAGCAGAAGTGCTTTTGAAAATCTTAAGATATAAATTTTGCGGCCAGGTAGTTGAGAACATAGGAGACAGCCTCAGAAAGTTTCAGCTGAAGTCACATGACATACATTGAGGGACTTCTCAAAAGAATAGATGTTAGGTAGAAATTAAAAATTAAATGTTGAAAATCATAACAGCCTTGGAGTGGATGTTTAAAGTGGAAGAGGCAATAAGTATATTTGCATTGTTTCAAAAAGCAAAAAGTGCAATTCAAAAATGAAGAGAGATTACAGATAAAATGTGCAAAATACAACACATTGAGGTGCTATTGAAAAGCACAACAACTGTTGCATTGGACATATAAAACATAAAAGCTGATAAGGATAATTGCCTTGCTTTGGAAAAGAAAGGGTGAAGCACTATGAGAAGGGTCATGGTGGTGAATGGAAATGCCTGAAGGCAAGTCTGGCTTGCAGCGCCACGCAGCGCTGAAAACCGAGAAATCGGCAGCGCTGCAATTTTTTGGGGACTTAAAGGCTGGCAGCGTTAGCGGTGGCGGAGGAAATTTTTTTCCAGGCTTTAGTAGCTTAAAGCAAAGTGCTTTTTCGCAGCGTTTCGCAGCGTTTCAAGCCAAAAAAAAGCGATTTTTTCAATTATAAAACAAGTTATAATTTTTTAAAAAAAACAATTGAAATCGATCGATTCTTGTAAAGACAGTAGAGAAACATAATTTTCAACACAACAGCAAGTGTGAAAAAATCAAGAAAAAAACAGTTATAAATAAATTTGACCTCATAAAGACTGTAAAGAAATGTTGAAAAAAAGATATTGATTGAAGTTGAACCCGTAAAGACTGTAAAGAAATATTGAAAAGAGAAATTGAAACAAATTCATGATCTAATCTAAGAAAGTTAAACTAAGATTGAGTATTTCTGGTTCTGGTTTTTTTGGCAATTGCTTTCTTTGCATATGCCATCACCTTGGTAACTTCAGCAAAGTCACCACTCAAAGGCACCCCTTCATTAACCCACAACTGACCACTTACGGTCATTTCAATCATTCGAGGAGCCAAACCGCCTCGTTCTGCGGTACAGATCTTACCAGCCACTGAGAACAAGCGTTCTGGTGCACCAGACGCTTCTGGTGTTGCAAGGTAGTCTTGCGCTAAGGCTGAAAGCACTGGGTATTTACCAGCATGAGCCTAAAGAAGATCGAATTTATGATCAGGATGGAATAAAACATATCGATAAGTAATGAATAAGGAAAATAACTCACCTTCCACCAATCCAATGCAAGTTGTGGATTGTTCAAATCCCGAGTAACCATAGGATCCACACCTTCAAGATACCGATCAAGCTCGTTAAGATCACTTGATTCAACTACATCACCATAGAAAGATGTCATTTCTGTTCCAAAAGTGTCGACAGGCGTGGATTTGGATAGTGGAAGGGTTGTGGTTGGTTGGTTCTCAAGGTTCATCTCCGCCCGTTTCTCATTGAATACATATTTCAGCAATTCCTGAGCTTGATTGATACCGTGAGCACCCATTCCAAAAGCGTGAGAAAAGAATTTAACTCGTAGTCCGGGGTGGAAGACCGCAGCGAGGGTTAGGGTGTCGCATTCTAGGGCTTTGTTCAAATAGGCAATGATCTTGTCGATCATGATATCTACCATGGGGTAGAGAGGGTTGTTCTTGTGCATGTTCTTCAATCGAGCCTCCATGGAGGCCTTAAGTTGAACATACTTCACAAGTACCAAGCACACGGTCGGCTTATCGCCCTCCATTTCGCGAGTCAATATCTTGAAGGGCTACAAAAAGAAATCATGGAATCTTCAGAAATTGATATGATAAGATAAAAAGACTGGAACATATTTGGAAGTACATACCGTAAGGATATCCAACATATCCCTCATCGCTTGCCAATCAGCAACTGAGAATACCAACTCCTCAAAATATCCACCCTTTTTGCCATTCTTTTTTGAGTGACGCCTCTTCGAATGGACTTTGTCAAGATCATATCTCATGACTCAATCAATGAGCTGGGAGAAACACAGATACATTAGAGTCTACCAAAAAAAGAACCCAAAGAACAATAAATGAAACAGTAATTGTAAGCAAGATCACTTACATCTCGAGCCTGCCACATTCTTTCCCAACGTCCAGCACGTATACCCCAACGTATACCATGTCCTGATAGAAGGGCCTTGAGAGATGGTAAACCATCTAATTTACACTGAACATTTGCTCTTTCTCGGCGACGATTGAAGTCGGCCCGGTGGCCACTGGCGCGGGTAAGCTTCTTGTTGACCGTATCCATCTAAGAAGATGCAAGGCAACAATGAATGAGATTAGTAAACATAGAAATGACAATGACCAAAAAAGAACAAGAAATAAAATGAAAGACTTACATCTTTAGTGAGTTGATTCATGTATGTATCCGCAAGAAGATAGGCAGTCTTACGTTTTTGATAGTTTTCAGGTTCATTGTCTTGCTCCGAGTCTTCTTCTTGTTCTTCAAGTTCAACTTCAGCAGTCGATTTTGAGGAATCATTGCTGTGAAAACTTTCAAGATCGTCTTCATCACTATCATCGTGATTAATATCGGTCTCTTCATGATCAACATTGATGATTGCCTCATTGTCTTCATCTTGCTCATTGATGACAGCCATGAGTTGAGCTTGTGGAAACCGTCCTAAATTACTATGTCGGATACAAAGGGGTTTCATACCGAGGGCATCAATACCAGCCTTGACAATTGGGCCCATCTTGTGGCAAAAGCAC